TTTTTTTTCAGTTCATTGTGTTCAGCTAGGCCAAGCCAGCATTTTTAAGGGGGATGAGGGAATGAAGAATCACAAGAAGGTGAAATTGGTGGCATACTGGGTTTTAAAGTGTTGAAAAAATGAGTTGAGAGAGTAATGCTGAGCTTGAAAGTGAGTGAGGTACATTTGCTGATTATTTTTTCATCTCTCAGCTTCTTTTGAAAAGCAGCATTTAGCAGTTGATCCCTCTTCGACTTCCAAATAAGTTGGTCCCCTGGATAATAACCCATATGCCACTCAAAATTAGAGTCTTGAATATAATCACTCTCATATCTTATGCTGTATCCTGTAAATTAAATACTGTATATCATGAAGAAGAAAATTTTAATTTAACCCCTTTTTTCTTATTTGTGTGTCTGTATTTATTAATTTTTCATGAGCCGCACCCTTTATTATATTTCAGAAAATAATAAACTGACCAATTTAATATATTTTTCAGCTAGACCTATTATCAAAATACTGCACAAAGAATGGTATTCAAGCAAAACAATTAATTTTATATAAATATTTCCAAATGGTCCAAAGCTTTTATATTTAAAGACAGCAAATTCACCCAAAACCGATGAAAACAAAACAGAGATTGAGAGCAGCGAAAATCGTGTTCTTTTTGTTGTACCTTGAAACACTCCTTGCTTCCTTAGCTGATTTTGTCCTTTGTTCCAGTCCAGTTCACCTTTTTTAGTAAGGCGGCAGCTGGCGGACCACGTACTTTCAACACGCTCCCTCCGAACCATAGTTGATATACTACTGTATATACGTCGCATGTATCAGGGGGAAATGCGTATGTAATCTATTTTTGGTGTTCAGAAAAAGGACGTGTGAATATATACTCGGACAGAAAGTACACCTGACCGTAACATATCCCGGAACTTGAAAAGGGTAACTAGTCAGACTTTATATGTCATACAAAAACTTATAGGGTTTCACAAACTTTTGTTTCTTGGATATATGTATATACAGTACAGTGAGACCCCCACATGCAGACACCTTGACATGGGAATAATTTGACATAGGGACATTTATTTTTCAATAGAAAGGCATAAAAAGGCCCAACATATGGACTGACTTGACATGCAGACATTGCATGATAAAACTGCAAATAAATTTCAGGAAAATTGAATTTTATTAGGCTTTATTTCAAGAAATGGATATTTCAAACCCTAGAAGATCTACCCATCATTTTCCTTTCCATTCAGATAATTTAAAAAATTAGCTATAGCAGCCATAGAGGGACTTCCTTCTCTCTTTGTGACTTGAGTATTATTTTTACAGATGCCAAAACATTTTAATGTACTGCACAGAAGTACACTATTCAATGCTCCAATTTTCTTACTGAGTTGAAAAGCTATTCACTGAATCAAATTTGAGTGGAAAATTTTTTCTCATGGAATTCTCAAGAATATTTCTTCCATGATATACCAATTAAAAATCATATAATGTAAGTCTATGGGAAAACAAGACTTAACTTAGGGTCATTTTGACTTAGGGACACTCTTGATGCACCGGTTACATCCACATCTGGGGGTCTCACTATGTGTTCCAGGATTATGTGTGTGATGTCTCATCAGGAAGATTTTTACAGGTGGTAAAATGTAAAGGCTGACTTTTTAATTGTTTGAATTAATTTTGGGTTACTTCATGAACATCATATTATATTGAGCTCAAGTATTTCTGCACCAGGAGACTAAGACGCCAGATTTGTCATGCAGCAAATAAATACTGTTGCAGAAGAGATGTTCAGAAAAGTTTTATGGTTTCAATAATGGGTGTCCTATTGTGAAAAAAAACGTGGTTAAATGCCAGATTCGTTTTTTCTGTAGAATAGCCTCGATTTTATTTCTTGATAAAAAATTTTGAAACAACCTAAGAAAAATTATTTTTAGGTACTAATAAATAAATCCAGCGAAATCTTTTTCAGGTTCAATTTTTTTTTTCTGCAGGAAGCATTGTATGTAGACTGGCTGCAGATTAATTTTATCTTTGATTTTTTTGAAAATGTGACCCTTCAAAAAAAAAGCCATTTATCTACAGTAAAATGTTGTTAAATCAAAGCCTGGGACCTGAGGAAAACTATTGGCTATAATGAAAATTTTGTTATAACCCGAATCAAATAAAATTTTGGCTCTACTGTATACAGTATACTGTTGTTACTGTACACTGAAATTCAATGAACTGATCTATAAGAGACAGGAGTTTTTTCCTAACTTATACTTTCCAATGTTACGTGCACATCCCCAAATGATGACAAATGACTCAGTGGTTGATGCACAACTCACAATATTTTGCAACTCATTTTCAGAAAATTATCATTAAAGTGCCGATAGAATGTTGCAATTGTGTGGATTCTGGCATCCACTTTTCTCTTACTTAATTTCAAAAGAAAATGGGATTTTAACTACACATTCATCATCATCCTCATTGTTGGAAACAACTTCGGCATGCCAACAAGTTGGCGCCAGATTACGTTAAATTACTCTTCTGCCTCACAAAAATCTCAAGAAAATTTAACAGCTTCTGCTGGAGCCTGAGAACCAAACCTGAGTTTGGTTCCCAGGCCCAGCAAGGACATCTTCTGAATAGAAATCTAATCCTTGTCCTTCAACTCTTCCTTTCCTGATTTCCGAATTTTGGATGATTCTGACACTTGCATTTGAATTGTTGACCCGAGCAGATCTCTGTGCAGAGAAGCTTCATTTGCGCAACTCCAAAATCTTGACCAAGTGTTGTTGATCATCAAAAAATACAACTCTTTAAAACTAAGACTGCTGTCCCAGCCGTAGCCTGGCTGATCAATCGAGTTTTCATATTCTAGTCAACTATCCTTATCCAAAAGGTTTCATTTTCATATCATCTTGTTTCCACTGCAGTTTCCAATCAAGTTTTCTATTCCTTGCTCAATCAACCTTGTGAGTTATTTTTGTCCGTTTGACATCTTTTTCTCACACCCATTGCTTTTTTTCATACAGAAATTAAAAATACTGTAAATGTTACACATTTATTCTGATTCATAATTCAAAACAGGTTAATTTTTTCCTCATTTTTGTGGAGATTTTTTTCATCATCTGCATACACATACTGTAGTATTATTGACTTCTGCTTGCTGTTCTTTGCTTTTTGGGCTCCTTTTCAGGCCAAAAGGTAATATTCTGGCTGGTTTTCTTCTGTGCAGTCATTTCCTTTAGCTGGTATTACATGAATTTCTTTCTGTAAACAAAGCCAATGTCCAAATCAAAAGATTTTGAAAACATCCCAGATTTTGTACTTCCCATTCTTGCTGGTTTCTGTTCAGATTTTTATGCAAGGACTTTCCATTTTCCATCAGGTGAGTTCCTGTCCAGACAGACAGACCAAAAAAATGCATACAATAATTGTATTTCCGGCAGATGGAGAAAGTAGGAAGGCAGAACAAGGCAATGAATCTGGCCCACGGGGCCCATCATGATACGAACTTACCCGTGATACGAACGGTCCAGTACTGAAAAGTCCTATATTTTATTTATTTTTTTTTTGCAATATATACAGAGGGATTCGGAGATCTGAATCGCTGTGAAATTGTGTACAAGTTGCCAGCAATCTTCCCGACTGCTTGCTGCTGCCAGCACAGCCTTGTTACGGGAAAGTCGATATAATAAGGAGACAGACAGCCAGAGCCGAAGCGCGCGTATCGATTCTCAACGCAAAACACGCCAAAGAATTATTTAAACGCTCTCTCGCATGCATGTGTCAGGCCAGCTGAAAACTCAAATTTCTTCATTTTTTTTACCATTATCAAGAATTTAGAAACAAAAATGCTTAAAACAACAAAAATGTCACTTTTTCAAGGTGTTGGAAATTTGTTAGGCCATAGTTACTAGGGGCTTAAAAAATTTCAGGCCAGCTAAAAAATTGAAATTTGTTGCTGTTTTGACAATTATAATTTATGCATTTTGAATGATGGTCAAAATAACAAATTTCAATTTTCAAGGTGCTGAATATTTCTCAGACAACCTAAAAATTGACATTTTGCTGTTGTTTTAACCAGTATCCAAAATGTTTGAGTAAAACAACAAAGAAATGTCCATCTTCAGCTGGCTTAACAAATATTTAGAACCATTAAAAAAAATTGAAATTTGTTGTTGATTCGACCATTATATTTTCTATACATATAAGATGATGATTGGGACAAAAAAAAAATTTCAACTTCTTTTAGGGAGCTGAAAATTTTGTCAGGCCAGCTGAAAATTAAAATTTCTTTGTTGTTTCAACCATTATCTAAAGCATAGAAAACACAATGAATGAAATAACAACAAATGTCAACTTTTTAGCTGGACTGATAATGTTTCATCATGGTTGGAAAGCTTTCACTCATCATCATGCAATAAATCAAATTTATTTTTCAGAAATCCGAAAAAATCCCAGAACATTAAAACATCATGGACTATATCAAAATCTTTTTTATTTTTACAGGCATACCTACTCTAGAAATAAGGAAGGTCGCGCCCAAGTGGGACAACCCTCGTAATATTTTCAAATCAGAGCACCAAAAACCAAAACCCTGGCCATCCTAGAATGATGTGTCACAGAATGCAGCAGGTGTTGTTGACGTGATGATGGACGGAAGAATGCGGATGCCAGCAACAAACACGACTGAATCTCCGGGAGAAGACTGAAGACCTCGCGCGGGTCGTCGTGGTGGCGGCTGACAATCTAGCGGAAGAATCCCGTTCTTCGATGTAAAGCGGCTGCGGAACCGGCGGCAAGTTGGGGTTTATTCTCAGGACGCCGTTGTTGTCACGACCGCCGCCGTTTCCTTGGCTCAAAGACCCAGCAGCGCCGCCACCGCCACCAGCAGTGAGATGCGGCAGCGACGGAATCCCGTCCGTTGACTCGAATTTAGGCGCCCCTCGACCAAAGTCGGAGACCTGAATAACGTGATTTAGGTGGAAATTGTCAGACGAGTAAAAATCAGTGGCCTTCCTGGATAATGATAGATGATTATCGCACCTTTTTTTTCATCAAGTCGACAACAATTTTTTATGAAAATAATTCAGATTCCTCTGTAAAATACCGCGGCTAACAGCTTCAATTACAGGTACGGTAATTTGAATGAATGAACAGAACACTTTATTTGCCGCTTTTCAGCATTCACGAGGTTCAATCAAGATTTCCACATCCAAACTTTCCTCTGTAAAATACCGCGGCTAACAGCTTCAATTACAGGTACGGTAATTTGAATGAATGAACAGAACACTTTATTTGCCGCTTTTCAGCATTCACGAGGTTCAATCAAGATTTCCACATCCAAACCCCCTCCCCACCCAACCCAAATCCACTCAATGACATTTAATCCCTTCAGAGCAGGAAATTTTAAAAAAACGGTAATTTTAAAAATATTATTCACATTCATGATTGTGTTTGATACTTCTCTATTTTCTAAATATATTTTTGCTATTATTTAAACTTCTGTTAGAAAAAAATTTTCTTCACAGCTGCAGCATATAAAGGAAATTTGCACGAAATGTTCCAAGCAAATCATTTGGGACTTGGGAGCTGATGGGGCATTTATGCTACCTAATTGCATATAACTAGTTAATACCCAGTTGGGGACAATTCCTCAAGAAAATCAGAATGCATAACGCCAAGGAGTTGCCAGCAAGAAGTACTGTACATCCCAAATAGCTACCAATGAGTTGATTAGCAACAACTCCAGAACCATCATCATGAGCCAGGGAGTTGGAACATAACTAGTTACCAACTAGTTTCTCAAGGAGTTATTTCCAACTGGGAGAAGTTACAAGCCTCACAATTGAGTTGTCTTGGGATGTGTGGCTACATTGAATTTTCCCTAGGTCTGTCAGGAATTCTTTTCAACCAGGACAGGGTATAGAGAGTTTTCCAGGAGAGTTGGCTTTGAAGCCAGCATAATTCATTTCCATTTCCTCAGGAAAATCAGAATGCATAACTCCAAGGAGTTGCCAGCAAGCAAGAAGTACATCACAAATAGCTACCAATGAGTTGATTAGCAACAACTCCAGAACCATCATGAGCCAGGGAGTTGGAACATAACTAGCTACCAACTAGTTCCTCAAGGAGCTATTTCCAACTGGGAGAAGTTAAAAGCCTCAGAAGTTTGTCTTGGGATGTGTGCCTACATTGAATTTTCAGATGGTCTGTCAGGAATTCTTTTCAAGCAGGACGGGGCAGAGAGTTATTCAGGAGAGTTGGCTTTGAAGCCAGCATAATTCATTTCCAACTCCCTCAAAACACATATGGGATTTAAGTACAAGTTACCTTAACAGCTGCCCAGTAAATTGCGAGCATTTTTTATCCCAGAAAAGTTTCCCAGAACCTTACAACATCATGGGCTATATGATAAATTTGTTTCTACAATCATACCTACTTTAGAAATAACCAAGGTCAACAACCTTCGCAAAGTTAAATTGTGGCAACTTATATGAACATGAAAAAAATAAATAAATAATACAAACCTCGAGAATCTGGACATTGGACTTGGGCCTGACAGCCGGGGTGAGAAGAGCACCTTGCTTGGGACTCGTGTACGTGGACACCTGGAAGACAATCTCCTTGAACCGCGTTTCCCAGTCGCCATGACGACCCGAGCCGCCATGTCCTCCCATTCCTGCATATAAGACAAACATCAATTACAGGCCCTGCCCTTTTAGCAAAAACCGCAACAGCAGCGCTGGCACGTGACAAGGAAAATTGCGCTGCACTCTTCATGCAATTTTTACACCCCTTTTTTTTTTCTCGGTCGCGGGACATATACTTGTGCAGAATATGCTTTTATGTACAGTACGCACATCCATTCCGTCGGTGTAATGATGATGGGCATACGAAAAATGGGCATTATTATGATGTACCCTAAAATTCTATGGTCCTTCTCCTTGTTTGAGCTTAATTGATGAACGCGCCCTTTTTTTCGACTCCTTCAATTAAACAACTCGTATGAGCTTGAGCATATGAAGTCTTTTCAATTCATCAGAAAACTGCTCGTCGTTTCGCATTTCGACACAATTCCCAAATTAGACACAATTATTGAATGCATCAACGGCCAGCTTTCAGTAGGAAGTTTTATTGAATTTTATGATGCGCATTGTATCGCATTAATTTTCAAACTCTCTGCTTTGTTGCAGGTCTCACACAAAATTCAACACTCGGATATAATCAAGGCTGTTCCTTATAGTTTAGGAATAAAGAGGCCATGTAATACAGCAGTGGTGCCCAAATCTGAACAGTGGTCATAAAGGGCCACAACAAAAAGCAAATCTTCTCTGTGGGCCACAAGTGTAAAAATAAATTGACTCTTCTACAAATTTCAAACTTTTAGACTCCTTTGAATTAAAAAAAAAAGTCCACAGATCACTTTATTTTTTCAGCAAGCTTGGCAACTTCTCAGAGTAATTTATCTTGCTATATCTTTTTGTCTTGGTGTTTTGGCTTAAAATGCCAGCAAAGATTGTATTCCTTGAAAAGTGAAAATTTTCCAAGGATTGGCAAACGAATGTTTCTTCCCAATGAAGATTGGGAAGAAACATTCGTTTGCCAATCCTTCATTATTATACAGAATAATAATCTGTGCGTCGTGATTTACAGAATTTTAGCTCAGAAACGTCAGCATGTAAATTTACTTTTAGTGGTGGGGGGGGGGGGGTCAAAGAAGGCGGAAAACGCAAAAAGTTGAAGTGACGAAATAATGATCATCTTACTTGAGTTTCCGTCAATGCATTCATTAAACATTAAATCAAAATACAGATTTGTTTGCTTTCCGGAAATAGAGGAATTTGGAACCATTTCAGTTGATAAATGGCTCAGTCAGGATGAGCAGCGTTAAATAACCCAAATACATACTCCAATGGTTCTAGCATGTATTTTTTTTAAGGTTTATTTTTTCAAGTTGAGCGAAGAAAAAAATACTGATGTGAAAAGTTTACAAAAATTAACTCATAATTTTCATACAGCGGTTCGGGCTTTCAATCAATCTTTAGTAGTATATGATCAAGAAATCTTACTGAAATTTGCATATTATGTACAATGATAGCACGTTCATGTCGTCACTCATGTAAATAGAAGCGACATCTACATGCTTTCACCGTGTACAATCGACGAAGATTCCTAGACAATGTATGCCATTTATAGCACAGTTGGACTTCAAGTCGAAAACCTCCTTCATTCGAATTTCCAGTTAATCCCTGGACAATTTCCGCCATTCAAATAAAATTTAAACCTCCAGAATTAAAAATTAGTTGGGTCAAACCTCTCTTGGTTGAATTTGAATAAGGCCTTTTTGTCATCAGACTGGGATTAAATTCTAGTTCACTTTTTCCGGAAAACAAAACAAATACAAATTATTTCCATTGTGCTTCAGGCATAGGAAATCTATGAATAATGAAAAGTTCAAATACAATTTGACCAGAAAATAGGTTCAATTGATTTAACTACCAAAATGAAAGCAAATCCCCCAGCTCAAAAACTCTCAAAGTCTATTGTTTTGGGGTCCCTTAAAAGTTGACCAGGATATGGTCAACTGTATTTATACAGATGGTAACTTACTATAGATACATCATTATTCAACTCTTTTTTGCTTTGAAATATCCCTGTCTTTGCCCCATTTAGTACATGCTTGCAGCCCCAAAAGATCATTCTTCCACTTATTTGATAAATTTTACAGGAATAATATTTATATTTGGACTATTTTCCAATGCCAATGCATAGCATGATGGAAAAAGCTGTTTCTGCCAAAACTCACCACTCATATCAATGAAAACAAGGTGGGACAAGACAACTGCCAAAGGTCCAGGTGGAGGCCAAGGAGTAGGAGTCAGCATCACAGGTAATATTGGCTTCCTCATCACATCTGCAAGACTCACCTCCCTTCTGGTCCACTGACTGACTGAATACCTTGGTGTAACAAAGCATAAAAATACCTGGAAAGTACCAAGCAAATTATTTGGAAACATAAATTTTTGGTATAGAAAGTTAAGCACAGCAAAAAAATGTACATACTTGCACCATACTCCCATAGCAATTCTTGCTGGATACCATTGACATTGAGAAATTTGCAGTTCAGTTTCATTTAATCCCCGTTTAAAATCCCTCCAGATTTATATTTCAATACAGCAAATACATAGAAAGAAAATATCAAAATACCTCAAACCTCTAGAACTCAAAATTCTAGAGAAATTTTCAATAATTTTTGAGCACCCAGAAAGAGAAGAGCAATACAAATGCCACTTGATGCTTTTTGAAAAGAAAAAAGTGACTAATTGCGCAAATGTGCCCTTGCCTCTAAGTTCAGCATCTTGTCAAAATCCATTCAACCAGCAATTCAATTCTCAGAATATCACCAATTTTACCTTGTGGGTCCATCTATGGTTAACCTTAAGAGGTTTAATTGTATAAATGTTTTGCTATGGAAATTGTTATGGATATAAATTATTTGCTGGGTATATAGATGACCCTTCATCAAAATGCGTGCATTTGAGTAATGAATAGGACACTCCTGAATGACTTACTTTGGCTTGGGAAATGCCTTGGTAAATCCTGGTGTACAGAGAATCTCCTCCACCCATTTGTCCAACATCCATCCAACACACATACCCTAGTTTCTCCATGCTTGTTCTAATCAACAGAACATCATCCTGAGATTCCCAGTCATAAGATAAGAAGACATCTGGAGGTGGGCTGATTGGGGAACCTATAACTATGACCAATAACACTGGGTTGAAATTCTGATGAAACCCTCAATTAATCATGCTCATTTAAAAACTCACTGGAATTCCTCTTGATGATGGCTGCAATGTCCTGTCTATTCATTTGCTCCAGGCATCCCACCAGGGTTTCCAGACAGAAAAATGAATTACCTGAGACTGAGAACCAATCCTTGAGGAGAACCAATGCTGGATTCACTGCCTCTTCCAATTGTTCCAACTTTCCCCTTTTATAACCTGAAGGATAAAAATTAATTCACAACTGACTTCAAAGCTAACTACTGTACAGATATTGTATGCACCTTGGGTCCCACACCAACGTTTATATGCTCAAATATTTTACTGTACCATGAACCTTTGAATAAGATGCACACCTGGATTTTTCACCCTAAAATGTTGATGAAAACCTATCCATATTTAATAAATGCATCCCATTTCTATTGACTGAAAAATTGCAATACAGTATTTTGAAAATGCTGTACATCAGAATTATACTTTAGACTTGAATTGATCCTGCATTCAACTTAATTTTCAACTGCTTCCACCTTTAAATTGTTTTGTTGGAATGGGTTAAAACTTTTCCATTTGAATCAAGAATGCAGCGCACTTTCAACAAATTTTTTTCATATAAATTTTAAAAAAAAGGTACACATGGTCAACAAGAAAATATAGACAGTAAAAAATCAAATCATTGCCAGTGTGAGTTTTGCAAGGTAAAATTTGATTTTCCTTTAGTTCTCACAAAAAAAAATCAAGTACATTCCAAACATGTTCAAGAAGTCCTCATAGAAATTTAAAATGTAAGCCCTTTCCTATGCCTTAATCAGCCGTTTGGAACTGAAATTTTTTATGCGATTCATTTTTGGGGTACTAGGTAAAAATCATATCTTCTACAGTTGAGGGCTGTTCATTTTTTCTTCGCTTCATTCAAACCCGAGCGTACTAAAATTAAAATACAGTAGTTCAGAAAATGATCAGCCCTTACATCTAGTCAAAAACGGACGTTCATTCTATGATTAAATAGGAAAATGTTTTACATTTTTGAATACTCGAGCTCTTACGAATTGTTTTGTTGCAGAAACAACTAGATTTTTCCATGCCTGACACAATCATAGAAAAAAGGCACAAACCCAGCTGAATCCCGAGTGCATTCCAATCACTGCCCTCGGGACTCCCAAGCAGCATTTTGGCCACTGTGGTCACCCAGTCGGGCAACAGGTGATCAGGAATGGCCAAGACAGCCCTGTCTACTGAAGGAGGATCCCAGAACTTGGAGGGATCCCTTGGGCCAGCTTCTTTTCCCACACCTCCGTCTTCCATCCACAGCTGGTGGGTACTCGAAGCTGTCCCCGACCTGTGTCTATTCGAAACTGCGAAATAAACAAAAACAAAAATTAAAAAATATATAATTAGAACACTTTTGGTCGGGAAAAATATTTCCAGTAATTTTTACAAGCTTTTTTCAATACCTTGAAATTCAGTATCAAATTTTCCAAGTCAGAAATTTCAAACCACAGTGAGATCAACATCAAGTTTCGAAACAAGTCTTTGTCAATTTGATATTTCTTATAGTTGCCTTCTTGAATCCCCACAAACTTGTGAATTTCAGAAAGTTGGGAGCTTCAATTCCAAAATGTTGATCAAGGCATAATTTCAGCTGTTTTTTGCGAAAAAGCACACAATTTCCAAAATATATAACAAACACTGTCAACAGGTGCTTGAAATAAAATTCTACAGTAAAAGCGAATAACGTTGTTTCAGAAGCAGTGCCATATCAATTCATTGAGTCAATGTCATATCAATTCATTGATTCAATGTCATATCAATTCATTGATTCAATGTCATTCTCTTTGGAGGTGCCTTTTTTTACTACTTCTTCTCCAGAAGCTTCAGATTCATTCATTGATTCAAGATTATTTTATTTTTAGGGACAATTATTACTTTTTATATCTTCTTTCGATCATTGAACACTTTTTCAGCAACGTTTAGAAAGTCCAGGCATTGTAATGAAAGCTGTAGAAAAATCGTCAAAAGATTATTTTCTTGTAACGAACCTAGAAAAGGCGTTATACTGAGATTTTCAGCGCGGTTTCTATCGCATTTCTGTCAGTTTCGTTTTACAGTAACACAATTCTTCACAACTAAAACCCACCTTGTCTCTTGGGCGAGGTTGGGAACCAAAGACGGAAGGGTTCCGTCTTGATCCTTCTGTAATCACACGGCAACACTGAGGAATTGAGACAGTCGTCCAGGAACAGGAAATGAAGACAGTTCTCATCAGCGCAACACCGTTTCCGGTGCAAATCACAGGCTTTGTCGCAAGGGCACTTGACCAGAAAGCGATAAGATAATCTTCTGATGCACGATTGCTTGATTTGCAGAAGCTGTGACTCCAGCATGTGACGCACCTGAAGAGAAAGAAACAATACATTTGTTGAAATTTGGTTTTAAAAAATGTGCGAAGGGGCGAAGAAGAAATTTTTTCTAAAAAATTAGTTATGACGCCTCAAGAATTTTTTTTTGGAAGTTCAGGAATTTATTTCAACTGAATTTGTATCCTTCAAGCCTCAAGTTTTTCTCGTTGGAGCACAAAATTTGCGAACTGAGGAAAATAAGTAAAGCCTATAAGCTAATAACCTTCTTCCAGAAACAGCTTCAGATCCATTTATTAATTAAATATCATTGTCTTCTCTTTCTTTGGAAGAAAACATTCTCAATACTTTTTCTATTCCCTTTTCCTGCAACAAAATTGGAGAAAAGTATCAAGTACTGTAATGTACTAAAAACTGGAAAAGGTTCAACCTAAACTGTTGCAATAGACCTGGAAAATGTATTACTGCATATACTGTAGTAGTGAAGTGAGATTTTTAGAACTGCTTCTGTAGAGTTTTTTTAGAGGGCCTCGGAAAAAGCAGGTAAAGAAAAATTCTTCACGTAAGAATTTCACCTTCTTTAACACGACTGTTTTTCTCTTGCACGGAAACGTTTAAGTTTGAAGTCCCCCGCCACATAATTTCCTATGTCATCAAGTAGATGTCGCCTGTATTAATTTTTTGTATATTCAAATATAAGCGTGTTTGGTGAGTTTCTAATTAGTTCCAGTGGTACATGAATTCAAGTGACACGTGTCTCAGACCCCACAAAGAAAACACATGTAAAAACTACCTCTGGGAAAGCAAGTCTCAAAATTTTAGATATACTGTATTACAGTACAGAACATACCTTTGAATGAATGAACAGAACACTTTATTTGCCGCTTTTCAGTACAGAACATACCTTAGCACAAATTTGTGGGGCAGGTTTTGGCAACCCATTGAAACAAGGATCCCTTTGAAGAGGTCTTCTGCTGTTCCTGAGCCCCATTGACATCCCTGATCGGCAACTCGCATTCAAATCATACCCGAAGTCATCAAGATGAGTTTGTCTTGTGAGTCGCATCTGAAAATCCCATAAAAAAGATGCAATAAATATATTTAGATTATAGCTCAACAAATTGATTTTCTTTTAATTCTCACATCTAATATTAAAATATATAAAGTACAATAAAATCGAATCTCTGGTAAGCTTCAAGGGACACACAAAAATTTGAGTTGGAGAAACAAACACTTAAGTTTGGCAAAAAAATAGAATTAATGTACAGTTAATTTTAAATTTGTGATATTCTGGGCCTTAAATTACTTCTGAAATGTTTTTACAGAACCCTGAATTTGGAGGCAACAGTTGATTTGACCAAATAGTCTTTCACTTCCTTCCAAAACATCTTGTTACATTTTTATTGCTTTTCTCTTTCTTGTGTCAATAAAATAATAGCCAAAAGGCCTGCAAAAATTTCAAGTTATGGAGATTTGAGAGGGAAAGCAACCAAGTCAGGGAGGTTTCCAATGCACTGTTTTTAAGGGAATCCAGAGAGGGACTTGAAAACAATTCAACTCAGTTCAAATCATTGAGGTTCAATTGTACTTGAAAATTTTCAATTTCTATCCAGATCCTTTCCAGCATAAAATGAATTTTAAAAAACTATAGGAATTTTATTGAGCATAAAATAACAGATTCAATCAATAAATGGATCTGACACTGTTTCAAATTAAAAAAATGTCTTCGCCGCAGCAGAAAATTCGTCCAACTTCTACTACAGTACTGGGATTAAACTGCTTGTCAAAATTATTTCGCTAGAAAATCCTCTGATTGGGCAGGGGGAAAAACTTGGGTTCGACGGAATTTGAAATTCATTTTTCAATTTCACCAAAAAAATACATGTTGTCAAAACAGTACTAACCTTGATCCTGGAATACCTCAAAGCAGACATGACAAGAACCAAAGTGTGACCACCTTCAAGCCAAACAACCGCAGCTCTGAAAAACAACACCGGCTTTTTCGCAGCCGCACAACCAGATTCTTGACTCCATTGAATCACTCTTGAAACAATCCGAGAAAATAGTGAGTCTGGAATCAATTTTAAAATTTCACAAATTTGATCGTCAACTCGAAAAGCAATCGTTCATATTAACCAGAGAAAAAGTTGTTGAAGTGTAGATAGAACACAACGTCTTCTTCGCCATCTTGCAAAAGCCTTTCAGGAGGAAACGCGAGAAAAATTCTGCTCGGAACATAAAACATTCTTCTGCAAGCAGACTGATTGCAATGTTGAAAACCTATAAATAAGAGACAAAAAAGTGTGTTTCTGCTTTTTTCTTTTTTGGACAGAGTTGATGACCAAAATATGAACAAAAACCTGCGCCAAAGCCATTCCCAGCAAAAGCCAAGACATCATGATGTGCAAGAAGAGCCAAAATGGATTCCTGCACCCAGTTTTCTCCTTGAAAAAGTTGCTGGTAGAGGCATTGCTCTAATACTCCATCTCTTTCCAGTCTGGTCCATTGCTGAGAAAACTTGGCAATGCTCTCTTCCAGGGTCAGGACAGATTTGTTGTTGTGTCTCATTTTACTTAGACCTGGGTATTCACAGTTTGGGTACTCATTTGTCCAAACTGCTTCAGGCTCATTCCCAGAGACATGACTTTCTTCATCAAATGACTGCACAGAGAACAAGACACAGCAATCAATAATTCTGCAACGTTTTCTTCACTCTGAAATGTTTACTACAAATATAATTCAATTACTAGAAATGCCTCAGTGTTTTACAATTGTTCCAGATGTAAAAAAAAAGCCAATGAAAATAAAGTGCTAAAAATATCCGTATAACAAAATGTTTTGATTCAGAACAACACATTGATTCTTCTGGAGATATTATCAACTTCCATTACAATTACAGTATTGTCTTGGAATTTCCAAAAAAATGCTTACAGCGTGAACTGAGAGAAAACAATTGAAATTTTGATTTAAAAATATCAGATTAAATCAATGAGCACTGTATTTATTTGAGTTACATGCGCACCTTCTCCTCAAATACATGAAGAAAAAGGTGCGTCATATAGGTGGGTATACATTTTTCAAGAAGTTTCAGAAGCTTAATGCGCATTATACTTGATTCTAGTGGGGAAATTTAAACTAAGTTAACAGGAAAACGTTAAACGGAAAAAATGAAAAATTGGTTAAATTAGGATTTAATTCATGTCCATTGAAATTTGGGTGTTCATATCTTTGAAATATAGCAGCTTTGGAGTCCCTAAAAATTGGATACAGGTCTAAATTTTTGACTAAAAACCCCTGGTGCATGGCTTACTCAAGGGTAAATGGTACTTGAGTAATACACGAATACCTCTGGATGAATCTCACACTGCTATTGGAAGAAAATTTCATTATCAATAAAGAACATTGTGTTACTTACACCAGGGATCATTTGCTAGACTGCTCAGAAACTTTATTAAGAAAATTCTCTGAATTAGCTGAGGAAAATCAATTGTGTTGAATAAAATTTAAATCCAGTTCATCAAAAATTAAAATTGTCAATGGAATTTTGGTGAGACTATTTTGTTCATGGTTCCACAGAAGTATGTAGTACAGTATTGAGATTCCACTTTTACAGGATAGCTACTAAATTACAGCATCACCGCAAGGACTCACCCTGTTATTAACACCCCACGCTTGGGCCTTGCTTAAAGCAGTTGTAAGTTCAGGGTGAAGCAAAGCAGCCAAGGTGTGCACAAGCCAGCCAGGTTTGAGAACGATCAAGGGCGTAGCATTGCTAATATCTGACATAGATGACACCTCCGGCGACATAGACGTCATACCCGAGGCATCGCTGTTATTGATGTGGCACACAGTGATGGACCCGACATCATGAAGAAAATCGAGTGCAGTCCACAAATCCAAATCTTGTTCCATGTGTGAAATAACAGGGCGGGGTTGTATGAACGCACCTCCGCGGTTTTCTTCGTTCAGTTGCCTCACCTGATGATGGAAATATCGGTCAACTTATCGGGAGTTTCAGAACTACACGTTGTGGGGGTATGAACACTGTGATTTCTGTATTAACCGAAAAAAAAATAATGAAGAAATATGATGAATTTTCGCGGAAACCTGATCGAAACTCAAGAAGCTGACGCCATCATGCGCGGAAGCCGCCAGAGTTGCGCGAAGTTGAAGCCACGTCAGAGGCACTTGCTGACTGTTGAACTGCATTTTCCAACCGGCTTCGCTCAACTTTTGCCTGAGCGTCCCAATGTTCACATCTTCCGGACTGGAACCGTCTTCCGAATCACAATCAATCGCCAAAAACTCCTGATTCACCAGCATTTCATATGGCTGACCCGAAATGGTCTCTTTGATCCGGCTGAACTTATCTTTCACCTATGGAGAACACGTTTCCGCCGTGATTCAGTGCAACGTTTAGAAAGTTTTGCATTACCAATTTGTCTCTGGTTTCGGTGTCGATTATTTTCAGAGCATTGCTGTGAGTGCCGACGATGAAAATCATGGGCAAAGAGTCGGCGGGGCCCAACATGGAGTCCCTTTCGCGATGGGATTTGGCAGAGGCTGGTAAGGCATCCGCAGGTGCTTCTTCTTTCACTACGGATGCAGTGGCATGTGCGAAAATGCTTTCTAGCCAATGTTTGATGTAATCCAAATTGGTCATCTCCCAGTCAGTGCCGCAGGCAGTGGAACAACTGTTGCTGCTTCTTCCTTCGTCTGCGCCTTCATTCGACGGAGTTCGACTCTGAAAACACGTCGGTAACTTACTTCAGCATTTTGTTTTGTAAAAATGTGAAAGATCACAATAATTAGGTACGCATAATTATTCAAATTCTGTTCACTGACTCAGCTTTACGAACGCGCGACATTCCGAATGTTCAAATGAACTGTTGAATGTTATTTTCTTCCGGTCAAAAGTCGAATCGCCCGTCGGTGCTTCTGCATTATTCAAAATTCAGTTTTTTATAGGAGGAATGTTTCCTTACGCTGTTTTTAAGCAATGTTGAGGAAGAATTCGAAAATGTTCACTGATTACAGCGAGAAATTCTGGTTTTTCCTCGATGGATATGCCAGACAAGCTTTCATATTTTATTCAACATTAAAGAGCAGTCCGCCAATAAAATCACTCACATCGCACCACTCCCTGGAATATCTCCTCTGCCCGACGACGCACGAAGCAAGGGCATCAAAATCGCTAGCAAGATCAAACACCACCAAGTAAACGGCCCTGTGTACCAAACAGGAAAGCAAGGCAGGGTAATAAATGTAGTTCCCCGACATGTCCCAAATGTCGAAAATTATCTGCTTCCGTTCGCTGTCGCCGAAATCAGTGGGGAATTTCTCATTCACTCCAGTCTTGTTGTTGTTCTCCTCGAACTCTTTCAAGTCTCGTTGGAGATCTTCGATCGCGTGCACGATTTTCTGCGAAATCTCGGCCAGAGGGAGATGCCAATCTTGCGAGGCTGTTTTTGAACCGCTTCCAATCTGAAATACAAAGATGCATCGATGATTCGGTTAATGGATGATCCATTTCAGTGAAAAAGTTCAATATCTGAGACGGTTTTGACGTTGTGTGAAGTCTTTTCGAACTGCTAATTGGTTACAAATATTGTATACTGTAGTAGTATTCACGAACGAAATTTTTTTTTTTTAAAAGGGATGATTTTTACCAATGAATTTCAGGAAATCTTGATGCCAAAATTGGGAACTCACAGGAGTGATGCTTTGATGACGCTTGACAAAATTTCGGAACGTGTTTCCTTTGAGTTTGTTGTTGCTGTTGGCTGCGGATTCGTTTTTGAGCAAAACTTTGCCTTTGTGTTTGAGGTTCTGATTGTTGTCCACAGTTGCTAGGTCATCTTCAGTTGACACGATACTCCAACCAATGTCTCGCGAAGGTGACGACGGTTTATTGCTAGGCTTGTTGGAGTACTTCATTTCCCAGACGATGTTCCGAGCGATTGAATACAGGAGCTCTTGTTCTTCCACAGTTTCTGATTTTTTTTTTCATCAACCGAAGAACCAATCGGGGTGAATGATCGAAAATCATCTCCCCATTTCCAGGAAACTTGGGGGGAAAATATTTATGGAAATCAAATGGAAAGGAAGAACTTAAAATACCTGGAAACTCATCAAATATGTAAATACTGTACAGCAGACAAACTTTACAACATTTTATCTCTAAGCTATGTGGTGAAATGTGAATTTCCTTTCGTCCCTCCATCATTTTCAACTGAAATGATTGCAAAACATCGAGTGGTCGGGGAATGACTGAAGTTCATCAGTAAAAATTCAGCATACATCCTTCTACGAGTATCAGACTACGTTAAGAAATATGTGTGAACAAATCATAAGCGAATTCTTTGAATTTTTCTGTACTAAGCAAGATTTCTTGTTGTGAACTCCAGTCAGAATCGGCCAGTCTGCTGATGCAGTACCTGGACAGTCAGTCAAAATGGATTCCGTGTCCTCTGAATCAGCAGTTTCCGTTACAACTTTGGACAGGATTTTAACTTGCTTCCAAGCATCCAGTGATCCAACATCAGCCTCACAAGTCGTACTGCAATCCAACCCCGGAGTCGGAGGTTCATCAGGGTCGAATTTCAATCCCACCAATGCCCGTGCGAGACTTGTTTTGCCAACCCTGTATTAATCGAGGCACCAATAAATATGCTGTATACATGCAGTCAGTCCTTGATTTAGTGCCACAAATCTCCCTCCACTGTGTTCTTTAAAAAAAAAATCTTGGTTTAGTGCCAAAAACAATCCTTCTCCTGAATGAAAAATTGGGCAATATAAAAGAAGATGGCCTTCATCGAAAAATCAAATGCTAATACTTGCAATTTTGAATAATCTATTTCTGGCTTTATTTTTTTAAACTTCTTTTTGTTATAACTCAAACACACAGAACTTCAAGAAACAGCTTTGCTCTTTTACTTGACACAGTATGCAAAAAACTACGAGATATTCTGTCTAATTAAAAATAATGAAATACAGTACAATATATGATCAGTATACTTTTGACCTTTGAATTAATGTATTTCTCATGACTTGAGAAATAGGGAATGAATGGGTGTATGCATACATGTCAGATGTCCAGTTGTATTTCATGTTGTATTGTATTTTCTCTTAATTTTGTTATCAATTTGTGCTTTCCTGCTCTGAAGTGATTAAAATTTCATTGAGTGGATTTGGGTTGGGTGGGAGGGGGGTTTGGTTGTGGATATCTTGGTTGAACTTTGTGAATGCTGAAAAGCGGCAAATAAAGTGTTCTGTTCATTCATTCATTCACTCATGACTCTCTTTTTAAAACATCCTCAGTGGCTTAACAATTCTGTGAACAAGCTTAAATTACTTTTAGTATAGAAACCCCGTCCTATGCTCTCCTGTCATGATTTTTTGCCAAAAAATTTGCCATGACAAATGATGAATCAATGTTTAACTACTGAATCAATGTTTAACTGCTCAGTATACTGTATGCACATTCACCTCCACATTTACCAAAATAAAATTAATGATAGAAGCTATAGACTTACCCTTCCTTTCCCACTAGATAAAGTCGGAAATGTCTCAACGGAGCTGTTCCATTCGCCATAGCTCGTTTGTAGGCATCAAGGAATTTTGGCCCCCGGGCAATAACTTCAACTGGAACATCTCCTGAACAGATCATCCGTGTCAAACTCAATTTTACACAGCGACACATTGATAAAAAAGAACAAGCAAAATCATGAGAACGCTTCCTGGGAGACATTGAAATTACCTAAAATATTACCGCGGCACACAAAACGATGCGTACCTCAAATTTTTAAAAATCCAAACCTAGGAGGTACTTCTCTAAATGAATCCGAGAAAGCATAAACATAAATTTATCGAAAGCAAACCTTCAGGAAGAATATGAACGGAGTTTGTTGTCCCGTAAACATCAATGATGGCCCACAAAGGTACGTTCACCGGCAGTCCAGTAAGATGAGCTCCTTTCAGCTTGTTGTTCACAAACAACAAAAGTCTTCCGCTCGATGTGAGTTGGAAAGTCACCCTGATGAGTGAAACGTTTTCAAAAATTATACAAATTGTACAAATCAGGGTCTACTATAACAGGATATGAAAAGAGCGACTGTATAGTTGAAAGGTGAATTTACTCACTTGGAGCCTGATTCACAAGACACATATTCTTCCCTGACCGGTTTGGCCCAAAATCCTTCCAATGACAACAAGTCGGGACATGCATATTTTGGCAGGGGTCCGAAATTTGCAGAATCTGAGGGGCTGAAGCTTGATGGATCATGAATCGTTACTCCGAGTCTCAAAGCTCCACTCCACTGTTGGGCATACGTCAGTTTCAAGGAGTAGCATTGCCCTACTTTCACAGGTTTATTGCTGCAACAAAATCAATGTAGAGTTGAAAGAACCTCAATAACTTGAACCTCCCGAAGTCAATTTTTTTGCAAGTTCCCATCTGAATTCCCTTAAGAAACAAAACATTAGAAATTCTCTAACTCAAAGGTCTTTCCTCTCAAACCTCTGCAACTCAAAAATTTCTGGGGCCCTTTTTATATCATTTTCTTGACAGAGGAAAAATGAAAGCAATAAAAAAGTAATTTGATGTGTTTTGTAAGGAAGTGAAGGACTGATTGGACCAATGAACCCTTGCATTCATGTTCAGCACCATGTCAACTCATTTAAGAAAACATTTAAGGCACAGAATACTACCAAATACAATTTCCTACAATTTTATCAATCTTTCCCACACAAAAAAATGCTTGTTTCCCAAACTTGAAACCTTCTTAACCCGAATTTTTTTCTGGTCCTTTGAAATTTGACTCGAAGAGGTTCAACCGTGCAGTATTTTCATAATCTAAAGGCAAACTACAGTACAGTGCTTAGTGAATTACCATGCATACAGTTTTTTCTGAGAAATTCTGACAAAAAAACAAGGTCATAGTTGGGCGTCAAGTATTCAAGGGAAATTTTTGAAAAATCGGGTGCAAGTCCCACATTGATCACGTTTGGGAAATCTTTTATAAAAAAAAATTATCCACATTGCAAAAAATTGAGAGGTTTTTTACAAGTCCTCTTGAAAATTTAATTTAGTTTGCCGGATTATTACTACAGCTATATAGAATCTCATATTGAAGACAACTTACCTAAACGTTATGCCATCGCAGAATCCCTTCTTCCTAATTGCAACAGTTTTGTCCGCTTCAAGGCGAATTGCACCGCCGTGAACAGCGTGGAATTTAATTCCAGGAGATTTCATCGTCAAAATTTTCGTGCCATCCTCGTTTCAATCATTCACGAGGTATGCAAAATCTTGAGGCACACACTTCCTAGTCGAATATCTCGTCATGCTTCACCTCACGGGTTCACTCAGATAATTAAGTCTTCCAGCAAAAATTAAGGTATCATCTTCCCGAAGACTGAGATTTCAAAGGCACCAAATCAAAGAGTTGTCAGCTTGTCACTCAGATTATTTTCGTTCACGGTCAACACTTCCAGAGATTTCACCTCTCGAAATCGCACAATTACGGGATTTGAACACTGCACTCGGAACAATTCCTCTCGTGAAATCACGAAGTTCCGGTAGCACATGAAGTGAACAGGTCCATGAATCAAGTCAGGGCTATCAGATGTGAATTCCTTTGTCCATAACCTAAGACCAAGACCAGCGAATGAAAGGATTCAACGCGGGTGATTAATCTGGAAGAAAATTTCAATTTCATTGAACAATGCGTCTCAGAATAACTCAAGGGCACTGTAGTGAATATTGTTCAAGTCGTGAAGCCCAGCGAATGGACCTCGCAGAATTTTCATCGACAGGTATTACGTGAACAACGAGTTTTCCTAAAACTTGTACCATACACAAAAAAGTTAATAAGACGATCTGCGATACAACACACGCCATCACGAAAAGCCGACCTGAGAGAACAACAACCACTTCGCCGAAAAATTCACCACCACAACATCGATTCTCCGCAGATCGAAGGGCAGTAATTTTCCGACACTAGAAGAAGAAAAAGGTAGGGAAGGATTCGAGCTGAATAATCCCAGACGGACGCACCGTCAAGTCAGCTGTAAGGAAAACCTCCGGTTCGTGTTTGGACCTTGTTTGGGCCTCGGTTGTCAAGGCAACCGGCAACCCGCAGAAAATTCGGTTTCTCTTTCAGACTGTAGCATTTCCTTTCTCACGTCCATTGGTTTCTGAATGCTCGCTTGTTCCGTGGGCATTTTCCCCCATATGATGCACTTCACGAAAGGATATTTCTATAGGGGGCATCACGCGGACTGTTGGCATGTGAACATCACGGGGGTCGAATAGGTTCCTCGTAGAACTGAATTTCTTCCTAGGAAGACAACTCATGCATGCTCCGATTGAGGTATTTTCTATGCAGCATTATCCACTTTCTAGAAGTAATATTTCCACACACCAACATGTGGATGGTCAAGTACCATCAGCGGCAGAGCTGGAAAATCCTCAAATAGGTATATTTCACATGACATGCCTCACATGACCAGTTTTTGGCCCATCGCGGTTTTTAAAAAATGAAAAATTCTGCCTCAGCATATCCTCGAGCCTAATCCAAGCTCCGAAGACAGGTTCATCCAGATTTCAAGGTTCGTTCAAAGCTGTATCACGAGAAGAAAGACCTGAAGTCTGTCAGGTTTTGACGAAAATTTTCTATAATTTTCAATCGCTGTAGCTGTTCCTTCCATTATGCCAGTGATGCATATTTTAATGAGATCACAATGTTCATTAAATTATGCACTTAATTCATCTTATCCTACATTCAACAATTTCCTGCTCGAAACGACATCGACATCTCCTCTTCTCCATCACTCATTTAGGGCGGAAAGTTACGTTTCAAAATCTTGAATTTTTAATCATATAATTTTTTCTACACGTTCACAACAATCCGACCCCACCGAAACATGAAGCAAAATCGAAGCCCACACCAATCGGAACCGAATCAACACCCATCACTTCGGTCGACACTCGAAATTCGCAAATCCACGATTTCAATATGTTCATCACGGTCGTCACACCAACTTGGGCTCACTCAATTTCGATAAACCTTAGCGACGTTGTCACTTGATCACTTTCCCAAAATAAGGTCACATTTCAGGTCTAGATCCATCCACATGCTTCATAACGACACGCGATCAACTCCGACGCGGTCACCAGAGTTCAGTGACGTCGCGATATCGATCGAACAACACCAGCATACGTTCAAAGCACAGCTCTAAGCTCACAACAATCGCATTAATCAACGGAAGACAAGTTCGAGATGGGAGTAGAAACGCACTTCATTTCCGGGAAGCTGCAATACAAAGTAATGTAGATGACAACCTATGTTGGTTCCGTTCCTGTGGGCTGACGTATTAAATGAAAAGAAAAAAAATGCTCCATAAAAAAAAATCGGGAAATCCTGAAAAAAATGACAGCAGCTAACGTTAAATCGAAGCATTTTGAGTCTCCGCAACGAGGGAAGCTACGCCAAAAATAACCATTTGAATTGAAGTAATAACTTGAATCTTCAAACTTCGGGAGTTGAAAATAGGAGCAACAATTCTGGGCGCAAAAAACGCGCCAACATCTCGGTCGAACATTCAACAGAATGTACGGACAGACGAACTGATTTCGATTCTCGATTCAGGAATCAGCATTCCGACCTCAAAAGTGAAAACAGCTCGCTCTCAAATGATAATAGCAATAAAAAAAACACATGTTTCATCAGATCTCCATGGCTGCGTCCCAGTTGAAGCCGTTGGAGGAACAACCCGAAGTCGATGATGCGTTATTCCCTGGAACAAAGAGAACAGTTCAAAACAAACCCTTCTGAACACACAAAAAACGGCACAACTCACCATTATTCGCCGATGCACTCACACCCGCATCTGTGCCATTCCCTTCAGGTACGGGAGGTTTTTGTCGGAGATAATCATCAAATCCAACGTCGTAAGACTCCTTGAAAACAAAACAAAAGACGCACGATTTACAGCCAAAAAAAAAAGTTCACCGCATGTGTCTCCCTTAAACAAGGCTCCTTATTCCCAATGTCGTCAGAAAAGACGTTTTAAAAATAAATGCTCAAAATTGGCAATTTTCCGACACCCAGCTCCGCTTTCACAAATTTCAAATATAAAGAATGTCGAAATAAATAAGCTCATAATCACATAACTTACTCCAAGCTAAATTAACTCAATAAGGCCGTCGGAAAAAGACGATTCACGCGACATCTACGCATCATAAATGAAACTCATTCAATTCCCGGACATTTGCATTGAAGAGGTGAGAACCAGACTCGGGACTAAAATATCATCACGCCTACACTGTTCCTCTGTCTTCGTTTCAAAATCAGAAGCCAATTATATTGATTTCATGAAGAATTCGTGGACCGATCTGATCCAAAATATACGGTAACTTCTTTGAAGGCCAAATTCTTCATAAATTCAACGTAATGAGAGAGGAAAACCTGAAACTCAATGAATTATGCAGACGTGAAAAAAAATGTGGGGGCAAGAAATCTAATTTTATTCGCGCATTTGAAGGCTCCTGAAAGCACGGCATAGTTTGAAAATACGGTACAGCACGTAACACGTAATAATGAACATGAAAGACTAAATGAGGAGAATCCCTAAACTTACCGAAGGTCGTCCAACGCTCCTTTGGTCACCCACAGCCTTTTCAACTTCGTTCGCATCTCGGATAACTAACGGCTTTCGCAAAGCGACATCGCTTTTCTCTTTCTTCTTCACCAGATGCACTGGAATCGATGAATCGTCGCCGAGTTCAGTCGGATATGTCGCCGGAAGGACACGAATGATTCGTTGCGCAGGTGTGGCGGAAGTAGGCGCAACATTCGTTTTCACAGCGTTCATGGAGACTGAAGAATTCAACAAGAAAATAAATTCAACTTCTGTGTGAATCGATTTTCCCAACTCTGAAGAGAAAATTACGTCCATTCTCCTCTTATGGTCTGGGATTTCACAAATTTAAGCAAAAGCACTTTTTCTGTGACTAAAATTAAATTGGAGTGTACGTTCCTGATCTTGGTTTGAATCTATTGAATTTAATCCTTTGCTTCTTCCAAGGACATTCACGCGAATTCACAAACTCATTTTTCTGTTGATCTGACACCAATCCACGATGACAATAAGATATGAGGAATCAGAAAATTTTCAACCTTTTTTTTTAACAAAGAAAAAATTGGCTAACGCAATTCAATACAGTACACGCATTATATGAGTGTTGGTTCATGATTCTTGTGACTCAGTCACTTGCCATCATTGGAGACAGATAAAATGTTTTCTCATGCTTCAATCCTTCATCAGCATCTAGTAATTTTGTTTGCCCATACATCTACAGATGGAAACACGAACAAGACCTCACAGTAAATGCCCTCCACTGAAGTGAAATTTAATTGAGAGCAATGGCGCATTGCTCCATGCTCCACGGATTTGGGGAAGTCTTAGAATGGAAAAACAAATTCAGCAACAGCAATTTCCACATCAGTGACAGCCAATGTGAAGGACATCCCAGAATTTCAACCAGTAAGCAAGATGTGGCCCTAATCAAAGAGGATCCTTGGCAAAAAAAAAAAGAATTGCTGCAACCCTTGAGATGGGTCCCACAGCTTTATTGAGGATCCTCACTAAAACTCGTGGCTGCACCAAAAATGGGCTTGGTGGATCCCAAAAATTTGATTAGGGCCTACATATGGGCCACATGTTGCTCACATGTTGAAATTCTGGGATTTCTTTCACATTAGACATGGCTGATGTGGAAATTGCTGTTATTGAACTTGTTTTTCCATCTGTAAAAAGTTGCTCTACCCGGAGCTTTATCAACAAAATGTTTTTCTGTTCTCAAGGAACACTCCATTGCACTCAGAACACCCACAAATATGTAGAGCATTCAGGTGCGCAGGTGCTCTTGGATCAAAATGCACTGCAGTGGAGGGCATTTACTGTGAGCTCTTTTACTTGTTTACATCTGTAGCTGGATTTGCAAACAAAATTAATAGACAGTGGTGAAGGATTGAAGATCAAAATACAAAATTTGGTCCACATCTGATGATGGTATGAGACCGAGTACCAAGACTTATGACCAAACTTTGTATAGAGGGTGAGTAAAGTCATATAGTAAAATTTGGTCAGTTTTTAACCATTTTGAAGTCACCAGTAATATTTGAAAGTTTCAGCCAGCCAAAAAAAAAAAAAAAATGCCGATAGTATATTTACCATTTTGAAGGCTGGGATCCTGCACTTGAATCGTTTTCCTGGAGTAAGTCATCTGGATATTTTGGACACTAAGATTCGGTAGGTTCCCCTTCAAAACTTTTGCTGGAATGACCCGCATTTCCATCACTTTCGGTTTCTTCGCAGGTTCAGCATCCGGGGAATGTACGACGAGGGGATGCGTTTCTTTATTCGGCGGAGATGAGCAGGGAACGGGTACGGGTTTTATCACATTTCCTTGCTTCGGAATAACAGCTACTTTTAGTTTCGCTTGGGAAAAAGTAGGGTCCTGTAAAATAAAGTTTTTGCCATGAAAAACAACGTCCATCCAAAACAGTGTTCACGCAAAAAGTATACGACATCGATTCAAGAACTGACAAAAATTTTGATGGCGAATCCCAGACGTCATGCCTAACTTCTCGACAATATGCTACGCAATAAATTAATGGTAAATATATATAGAAAACACTGCTCATAATAGTTTTTTTTTCAAGCGTAATTAACGTCGTCAACTACAATGCATCATTTCCACCATACGTGGCACTAAAACACCACAATCTCCAAATAATTTCAGGTGTTCGTCTCGTAGGGTAGAACAACTGCAACGGCAGGAAAAATGAAGAAAAACATATATAAAAACGTTAGTCAATCCTCTATCGTCGTTTTCCCGTACTATCAATTTTTACGAGCACATCTTAGTCTTGACGAAACAACGCGGGGAAGCATTTCTCCAGTCGCTCTCAAACATTCTCAGGTTTTAATTTATAGTTCTGTGAGTAAATCAGATGGATCTTCGAAATGAACCCGCGAGATTGGAACGCTTCACGATTTGATGAAATGCTTCGAATGGGGTGCACATCTTTTGACTGCTCATAAATAGGCAGATTCACAAGGAAATTCGCAAACAGTTTCTTCTGAGACACACCCCGATTTCAGCGAGTCCAAAAAAAGAATGGGTCTAAATTTTTGCGTGAACACGGCAGCTTATTCAAAGACTCACCTTTTGAATTTGAACCAAGTATCGATCAGCGGAACGAACGGTAGTCCAGCTCAGTGCAGTAGATTGTGCATCCGTGTTCGTGGCTTTGAGTAGCAATGGTGCTTCAGGGGGTCTAGTGTCCATTGACCAGAAATCCTGTAAGCAAACCTGTTTGTTCCACGATCTTTTGAATCCGTCTCTTCCGCTCCAGATGTAAAGACGTGAGTCCACAGCTACGCAGACGTGACCCGCTCTGGCTATTGGCAAAGACTCTTCGTGCATGTCCATCGCAAATGATTCCCAATGCAACGTATCTGAAAAATTACCCGAAAACAGGGTTCATTGCGAAGAACTAACTGACAGTACAGTACTCAGATAAAAAATCTGCTCAAATTACGCCGTATTTTCCGATCATTCTTTGAAATTCTACATCGGAATTAAGATTTGATATTACAGTTGAATCTTCACAACTTGAACCTCCATAAGTCAAATCCCTATGCCGAATAATTTCGATTCCTTGTCTGGATTCTCTGAGGAACAATGCAGTAAAAACCTCCCCAACTCGAAGTCTTTCCCCTTCAAACTTCCATAACTCATATTTTCGGACGTCTTTTGACTTTTATTTTATTGACACAGGAAATAGAGAAACTATGAAAATTTTTAAAATATGTTTCAAAAGGAAGTGCAAGACTAATTGGGCAAATAAACCTATGCCTCCCAGTTCAGCACTTGAAAAGGAACTTTAAGTCCAGAGTAAGTCACCAAGTACAGTTGCCTGTAATCTTTCTTTCTTTACCCTATCAAAATTGCTTCTTTCTTACACGCAAAACTCGCCTGACTCGATGTTTTTTCGCTGGCCCTTGAAGTTTGACAAAGAGGTTTTACTGAACCAAGAAAAATCAAAGGATTCAAATAAACCAAACTCAAGTCAGCACTGAAACACGGTCACATTTTCAAAATAACATCTGCGAAGAAAAAATATTGTTACGTAATCAACAAATTTCTGCTCTAAAACCTTAAGAAAACCAAGGAAATCCCGCGCTAAAGTTATGCATCGGGATACCAGGAAAACTGCTTCAAAGCGATAAATTCGCTCTGATATGAGATTTACAAGAGAATGAGTCCAATGCTGTCCTCCGAATAGCAGAAATGCCTGATTCTGCTTGCGAAGTACTGCACGCACATTTCCATTCTATGTACGGTATTTCCGACTTTTACTTTTGCTTGTGAAGCTCAACTGGATAGAATGAATTGCAGGACTACGGAAACCTAAAACATTATAGTTAGTGCAATACAAGTCATGATGGAGAAAAATTACACTGATCGAATGAAAGATGAACGTGAACGTAAACAGAGCCATTGATGTGGGAAATCGTACGAACACAACTAAACTCGACCATTCTAACACACACTTTAAGAAAGAGTAGAAATTTCAAATGTCTAACCGAGGTTTAATGCCGCAAAGCTGTTGGAACACCGCCATTCCTTCTCACGAATGCCGTGGCAGGGATCTTCAATAACTAGAGGAACCCAGCCTCCGAAAATGTGCATGATGTGTCCGACTACAACTGCAGAATGGAGCGAACGTTGCAGAGGAGGAAGACCGGATATCCCAGGTTTCTTCCAAACAGTAGTTTCCACGTCAAAAATGAACACATCCCCGAGTCTCACTCCGTTCATACCGCCGTATATCACAAGTTTGTTCTTTCCATCTCTGGTTTGGTACGCTACTGCAGAATGCGACTCTCTCGCAGATGGTCTCTTGCCAGAGTCACGAACACGGGTCCACTTTCCGATACCGGTGACGGGCATTACTTGTACAGTGTAGAAATCGTCCAAATAAACCGGGACATTTTTCACGGGACTTTCAGATGAGTTTGCTAATCCACCGAACAGAAACATTCGTTTGCCAACGACCGTCAGACTGTGTCCAAAACGAGGGGAAGGCGTTTCACCGGAAGGAGAGTCGAGGAACTTCCATCTCCACTTGCGAATTTGAAGCTCATACATTTCGTTCGTATGTTTTCCGTATTCCTGAGTTCCGCCAAATAAAAAAATACGGTCGTCCACAGTAACAAAGCCGTGTGAGGCACATCCTGGTGGTATATCGCCAGTAACATCTGGAGAGAACCACTGGTGAGTACCTGTCGGAGGGATCCAGAATGAAGATTATTGAACAACCACAACGCTGGAAATGGCTCGAATCCATGTTCGTTTGCGAGGAATCAACGGAATCGCCGACTCACCGAAATCGAAGACGTGCAACTCATTGTAGATCCCTTCATTCCCACCTCCGAAGATTATAAAGTAATCTTTCCAGACAACGCCGCGATGACCATGACGAGGGACAGGCTCCTCCGGTGACGGAGAGACTTTCACGCGCTTCCACCGCAAAATCGTGGAAGCCATTACACTACAAAGATTCTATTTTCGCATGACTGCAGTTCGAATACTGAGAGCGCCACCGAGAACAGTAGCTCATTCCGCAACGTTTCGCGCTTTACCAACCGAACCACCCGCCGACTCACCCCGCGGTGCTACACTTTAACACGAGACTAAACGGGTACAGGAGGTGAAATTCCTCGAACACACCACATCGTGTATTAGAACATGTCACGCAGATGACGCGCTAATCCTGCAGTTGATTTCTTCCAATTTGAAAATTAAGACAGTGAACAGCAACATACCCTACATGTGATTTAGTGAACATTATTAATTTCATCTCATTTCCCTGATATCCTCAGGAATTGTTCTTGCATCATCATGATATCTGCATGTCTTCAGATTAGGTTTCTTGAAATTCCGAAGCTGTTTGCAGTGAGACCCCAAGATGCGGACATAATGTGCATCAAGAGTGTCCCCAAGTCAAAATGACCCAAAGTCAAGTCTTGTTTTCCCATAGACTTACATTATATAATTTTTAATTGGTGTTTTGTGGAAGAAATATTCTTCAGAATTCCCTGAAAAAAATTGTTTCCCACTTTAATTTGAATTAGTGAATACATTTTCAACTCAATAAGAACATTTGGAGCATTGAATAGTGTATCTATATGTACTGTACACTGAATTTTTGGCATCTTCAAAAATAACATTCAAGTGAAAAGAAAGTAGAAGTCCCTCTATGCTGGAGGTAATTTTTTAATTAGCTAAATGGATGATAATTTGGTGAGAGAAATACCAAAGAACTTTTCTCACATCAATTTTAGGGTTGGAAATATCTGTTTCTTGTAATTTGGCCTAAAATGTATTTGCAATTGTATCACAAAATATACCTATGTTGAGTCAGTGTCCTCATGTATTGGGCTTTATCTATTGATTTCTTCTGGGAAAATAAGTGTCCCTATGTCAAATTGTCTGCAGGTCGAGGCGTCCACATGTGGGGGTCTCACTGTACAGTACAGTATACAGTACTGTATATTATATGTACAGTACAGTACTGTATATTATATGTACAGTACAGTACTGTATATTTATAGTTGTATACACCGTATGTGCAGCTGTAGAATGATGATTTCAGTATGGTAACTTTGCAGCAAGCAAACTGATGATAATGTAAATACAAAATATTTAATATGAGCTGTTTTTGGACGTCGTTAAAAAAGCATGCAGCACAGCAATAAGCAAAAATAAAATAAAAATGGTTTGCGGATGAATCAACGATGCTGTCGAAAGTTCGTTTTGACTTTTGAATGACAAAATACTACCCAGTTCAGTGCGACAGCATATAGACGAGCATGTTTCGAACACCCACGATCAATTTAAACTGATGTCATTCCTATATATACAGTATTAATATCCTAAATGGAATTGAAATAATGCGACAAATCTTGGAGAAAAGTCTGTTTTACTGTTCACATCTTCGACATTTTTCTATAAACAAAGAACTTATGAGCAGGAAAATAAAATAAAATTCTACCAAATTTTACTAACATCCATCGCGATTATCGGCCATCGTTCACATTAGTACGAACGCGAAACCGAAAATAGATCTCGAGAGTGAGCTCATAACATGACGCGCGTATAGGCACAAAACATTGTCCCCTAGCTCAATTTGTCCTGAGTATGAAAGCAGGCTTCTTCTAAGGCGAAGCTGTGGTAGCGGTTGTTCCAGAACCAGGCAAAGTCGGCACTGCTGCGAGCAACACATTGAAATAGTTGGACACGGAGAACTTGAGCAGACACGAGCAGCATCCGCTGTCCAGGTCCAAGACGCAGTCCGTGATCATGGACAAGAGCGCATCTCTGCCCGTCGTCGTCTCCAGGTCAAACTCGGTCATGCAGGGTTTGCAGTCGCTCATCATTGTCCTCATTGTGGGCATGGGACACGAGTCTCCGCCACGAAGGGCGTGGTTAGCTGCGAGACTCGCCACAATGGCAACGATCGCCAGGAATTTCATGTTCCTTTAAATAGGAAAAGAAAAAAGTGCAGTAATGGAATCAGCAAGTGCATAATCAATTTCTTGCATGGAGATTGAAAAACTGGAATTTCTCTCACGTTTCTGAATGAAAAAATGTGAATGGAGGGTAAGACCAAGTTATTCCTGCAGCTCTTCAAAATGTGCAGATCCCAATGCTGAAATGGTTCGTAGGCGTGTGCGAGGCCTCCTTCAATAAGTTGGGTCTTATATACTTGAAGATAACCAGCATGATTCTCTTCTTTTTCTTTGCTTTAAATTTCCCAACCCTCCATCAGCAGCAGCATCGCATCTTCAAACAAACCTCGGTTTGGCAACCAAAAATCTCTTGAAAGCTCGTCTTCGAGGAATCCCTAATATCTGAACGAGAAAATTTTCAATTCCTCTGCCTATAGTCTAGCATAAATTCCTCATCGGTGAAAATTTGTCGCTGAAGTATTCTTTTGTGTTTTCTTCATTCATTTGAATACATATTTTATTGGCATTACAGAGGAGAGAACATTTTTTTAATCTTTGCCATTTTCCGGTGATCGCGGTTAAAATAATAAAGACACCGTACAAAAATAACATTGATGCGTGGGTGAAAAAATACTGTATGCTTTTCTTATTGTAAAACATTATTTGGCACCTCGCTTTAGAGAGGGTAGATAGGTCTAATCAGCCACTCACTATATATGTACTTTTTTGAGAAACAGGAAGTTTCATTTTCATTGCTATATTTCCTTCCTGGATCCTCAAAATAAAAGTACAACGCCCTCCAGAAATCTGAATTCTATAAATTTTTGAACAGGAAGGTCTGAATTAGTGATGAGCTAGTATTTTATTCTTTAGCGATATTCAGACAGGGAATAAACATATTGATTTGACGTGGGGGGGTTTTTTACGTCGTGTGGAATTAATTAAGGTCATGCCCAAAAGTAAAACTAATTTGCAAGATCAGAATGAAGTGCAAGCATCAGCAAGAGGTTAAATAATAATGGACGTGAAGAAATACTGATTCGTGTCAAAAAATGGATCACGGCTTGGAATATTTTCAATCTGTATTTTTTATGCATATTGAGCTGTATTAATCTGATATAACTGTAGTGTAGACTTTTTCAATGGATCGAGAAAACACGAAAATGAGGTACTTCGGCGAATAAACACAAATACTATCTCAGGGAATATTTGGAGAAACGGAAAATTTTCCATTCGTACAGTATATATCAGGTACATACTGTATTTCTCAAAAACAAGCGCTCAAAGGATTTTTGTTTGCCAAACCGAGGTTTGCTGTTTGAAGATGAGCAGCTGTAGGGTTGAGTAAATAGAAGAAGAAAAAAATTATGCTGGTTATCTTCAAGTATATAAGACCCAACTTGACGATGAAGGCCTCACACAAGCACACGAACCATTTCAGCATTGCAATCTGCACATTTTGAAGAGCTGCAAGAATAACTTGGTTGTATCCTCCATTCACATTTTTTCATTCAGAAACGTGAGAGAAATTCCAGTTTTTCAATCTCCATGCAAGAAATTGAATATGCACTTGCTGATTCCATTACTGTACTTTGTTTCTTTTCCTCTAAAGGAACATGAAATTCCTGGCGATCGTTGTCATTGTGGCGAGTCTCGCAGCATCTTGGACAATGCGTCCCGGTCGGGGACGAGTCCGGAACGGACAGGCCAGACATGATGATGACCGAGGTGGAATCAGCATCAGTAGCGGATCCGGTCAAGTGCCTGACAGCAGCCGTTAAATCATTTCCTACGAACGTCGACGCGGATGCGCTGACAGAGAACGACAGACGGATGATCAACCACGCCCTTCGTGGCGGAGACTCGTGTCCCATGCCCACAATGAGGACAATGATGAGCGACTGCAAACCCTGCATGACCGAGTTTGACCTGGAGACGACGACGGGCAGAGATGCGCTCTTGTCCATTACCACGCCCTTCGTGGCGGAGACTCGTGTCCCATGCCCACAATGAGGACAATGATGAGTGACTGCAAACCCTGCATGACCGAATTTGACCTGGAGACGACGACGGGCAGAGATGCGCTCTTGTCCATAATCACGAACTGCGTCTTGGACTTGGACAGCGGATGCTGCTCGTGTCTGCTCAAATTCTCTGTGTCCAACTATTTCAACGTGTTGCTCGCAGCAGTGCCGACTTTGCCTGGTTCTGGAACAACTGTGGCAACCGCTACCACAGCTTCTCCTTAGAAGAAGCCTGCTTTCATCTCAGGACAAGTTGAGCTCGGAGACACCTTTTTTGTGCCTGCATTAAATGAGCCAAGCACAGTCCCAAGATTTGAGTTTCGGTCTCGCGTTCGTTCTGTGAAGGATGGTCGAGATGTTGAATGTTAGTGAAATTTCGTAGAATTGTATTCTTTTCTTGTCTACGTTCCTTGAAAATGTTGAAAAATTGAACAATAAATTGGATTTCACTGAAGACTTGCCTTAGTAATTTAATTCGAAATAAGAATGACATCTAAGCGAAAGTGATTGAAACAGGCTCGCATGCCACTCTGCTGGAAAGCACTTTGTCATCTATAACAAATCTTGAACATGGCTACTTGCATTTTCGCGGATCAGCTGGTTACTCGAAAAAGTCTGCGGATTATCAGCTCTGACTCGGCGACTTCCTGTATTTGACGAGCGATGTTTGGAACTTCGGATTACAAATAACAAGGAGTAAGTCGGGTGTTACTCTGGTGAAACTACACCGTTGCTACTTGTATGTTAGGGACAGTTTACCAGCTAGAAACAACGTGAAAATGTTGGATTTCTTCGAAAAATAAGGAATTTTTACTCCGTGAATTTTTTGTTGAATGGAACAGACGGTTTTCGGTTTTATCTTCTGATTAATGGTGTCATCTTGGCTCGCATATTTTTGTATTAGGTGATGGGAAGGCGTCGTCGAAATTATTTGTAAGAACTCGACGGCAATTGTACACGGACGTCGCGTATTGCTGCCAGTGTAGATCGTGAATTACGACAGATTGACAAGTGCTGAGAACCATGGTAAGTGAATATTTTTGAATGTAACCAACATCCAGAGCAATGCTTAATTATTTTACTGAAGCCCAATAAGGCGAAGAAGGCACGTACGGTGGCGAAAAAGAAGATGATTAGCTTGCGTGATTCAAGAATCAAGAAAGAGGAGCGGAAGAAGCCGAAGATTAAAATAGACAAGCTCGAGCTCAAAGTCAATCATGTGTGAGTTACGCACATTTGAGTGGCTTTTCTGTTTTCGTAATCATGTTGATTTTCTCCCATTAGGCCTCAAGTGTCGTCCGCACTTTTCTTCGAATTCAATTCTCAACTTGGGCCTCCTTTCCACGTGATCGTTGACACGAATTTCATAAATTTTTCTATTAAGAACAAGTTAGACGTCGTCAAGTCCATGATGGACTGTCTATACGCGAAATGTGAGTTAATTAGTTGTGATTTCTGAAAACATCAATGTAGATTTGTTCTGTTCATAGGTATCCCATACATCACCGACTGCGTCATGGGAGAGTTGGAGAAACTGGGAGGCAAATACCGTGTAGCTCTGAAAATCGTCAAAGATCAGCGGTTTGAACGATTACCGTGTACTCACAAGGGCACATATGCTGACGATTGCATTGTTGAGCGCATCATGCAACATAAATGCTACATAGTAGCTACCTGCGACAAGGAGTTACGTCGAAGAATACGAAAGATCCCCGGGGTGCCGATCATGTTTATTTCTCACCATCGTTACAACATTGAAAGAATGCCAGATGCTTATGGCGCTCCGAAAATGTGATCTGCATATTTGTTCACCGTTACGAGTCAACTTTTACTTTTGCTATTGGGGCTCAGCCCTGATTTGTGATACGTTTTGATTTGCTGTGTTCAGTCTTATTTTCTGACAGGATGAGTGCCTTCCGAGATTCATTCAAGTACTACAGGAGTGGTAAAATCGAAGATTTGATGAACTCTGTTGTGTGTTTCGAGAACCTAGCGTGGTCAAACCGCGACATCGTTTTGCCCGCGAATTTTGTAGAACGTTTCTCTCTACATAAAGTGTTGATAACCTTTACAATTCCGGAGCAGCCGGACCTGATTTGCATAAAGTGCCCTTTCAAAGCCGAAGGAATCCGTTATTGGATTGAGAAGTGTTTGAAGACCTACCCTTCGATTGCGGAATCGAAATCAAATCTTGATGGACAGTTGAACGTGAGAGAATCTTGGTGGGAACATAGCAAAAGGTGAGTGCTTTTGTTTCGTTTCTTCATGTTCGCCTATCTCAATCACGCGATTTATGTTGCCCTCGTGTTTTTAGTGACGATTCGCGACGCGAAAAGTCCACAATTACGGCTAACTTGGTTTCCATCTTGAGAATACATGACGTTAATTGATTTATCAGTGCTGATGAGGGAACAATTTTGTAGACCTGACTACCAATAATCATTATTTGGAATTTCAATACATTTTCATTGCACAGTGTATGGTTGATGAGTTAATTTTGTACTTCTGTAGTTCAACTACAGTATAATTCGTACGATCAGATTTTAATTGTTTTGTATTGTTTCATGATTGCCTCGGGTTGATGGTTCTTTGGGCTCAATGACCAAGTGAACTTTTGCAGTTCACAATTTTTATGCTTGAAGAATTACCGCAATTCGATGTCAGATTGTCAGGGTGTTCTTTTTGTGAAATACTGCACGATTCCGAAGCCTATTGTGTTGAATGTTGAGTGAATTTTTAACAACTTGAATATGCTGACGAACTGAAAAATATTCAAGTTCTGAAATTTTAAATAGTACCGTAATTTATGTAATGCATCAGGGAAAGGGTGTATTGAGTCGGATTGTATGATGTGAAGTTTCGTGTGCTGTATTAATTGGATTATTTTCACTAATACAGGAAAGCTTACCTTTCGTTTGTCAACTTTTCATGAAGGCGAATCTTTGCTAATTTCTTTACAAATTTTGATTGTCCCTGTTGTGGCCAGCCGAATTCTTCTGCGCTGTATACATATGAAGTAGTACGAATAAATTTGTTTTTCAGCCACCCAGATGCCAGGAAGAAGCTCCGTTGGGTGACAATGGGTTATCATCATAATTGGGACACCAAAGAATATGCAGAAGACATGAAGGGAGAATTTCCTTCAGAAATGCGTGAATTCTTCGTCAATCTTGCGAAAATCCTTGGAAAGGAATTTGACCCACAAGCAGTCATTGTTAATTATTATCCCTTCGGTTCCAACTTGGGACCGCATCGGGATGATTCTGAAAAATATTTCAACGCCCCCTTGTTTTCGATGAGGTGATTTTCTAAGTTGCTTCTACTAACTGGAGAGTTTTGATTGATGAGATGTTCGTTTTTATGTCAGCATCGGTCAAGGTGCAATATTTCTGATTGGAGGTGAAACTATGGATGTCAAGCCCATTCCGATGCTCCTGAATTGTGGAGATATTCTCGTGATGGATGGTTCATCGCGTCTTGCTTATCACGCTGTTCCACGGTTAGTCATTCTTTAAAAGAAAATTTATTTGCGATAGTCCAGGACGCCATCGATTCTAATTTTCAAAGCACTTTGAATTTCAGCCAACCAACTAGAAAGTCCATCAATTTAGTGCACTATTCATTGTTTTGTAAAACTAAAACTTGAGGTTTTGCGAACCGTAATTTTACGAAGAAGTTATTTTCAAATTTTAAAAGTATCCAAGGAACTAAATAAGTGCCCAACGGTTTCTCGCAGTTTAAAAAATAAATTTTCTATCTTCATTGCGTTCAGGTCATGTGTCGAACTTAGCCTTGGGGATGCATACAATTGTTCCAATTAGTTACTGTACCTTAATGATATTTCGATCATCTGCATTTGTCACACTTGTATTGTTGCATTGTGCACGTCAATTTGAAACATTTGCTATTTTATTTTGAGTCTGTATTTGAAATGTATCAGGCATATTGTACATTTTCACGAACTTGCTGTTGTAATAAAACATATTACTTTTTTGCAGCATAATTAAAACGGAAGAGGAACACTGGAAAAGAAAAGCCGATGAAAGATGGGTGATGGAGTACGTGAGCTACTTGGAGAACCATCGAATTAACATTAACGTTAGACAAGTTACTAAAGTTTGATGCGCCATAGGTGAATAATGTGGTTATTAAAGTGATTTTTTTGCTGTCTTTCTTAAAAAAGAATGGGTATACCAGCGAATTTCCGTTTTCAAGTTTTGATTCCAGTGAATGGAATTTGTGCGGTTTACAGACGCAGTGTGATCTTTTGTAAATACGGCGTGTAGTGATGTACTGGTGTGATTTCTGGGCCGGATGGATTGGTGGTGAGTTAAGATAGACTTTCATACGAAATACCGATATTTTGGTTTGATGACGATAATCTTTTTTTGTATTTCTTGTGAAAGGTATAAGTGGCATTATTGTCGGGCATCCGTTGGATACCGTCAAAGTTCGTCAACAGACCCTAGGATCATCTCGAAGATTGGGAGTCCTGAAAACAATTCAAACTACTTTTCGGTATGAAAAAGTGAGTGCGAATGTCCTTAAACTGAGGTGAATTTCACCAACTTTTTTCATGTGGTACAGTAATTCTACGGAAATGATTGAAGATTGCTTTTTAAAATTGATTTCGTCATTTTCGAGAATATGCGTGCGATGTTTCTAATTATGCCTCATTACTAGATGTTTTATTATGTTGGTACAGTGCTTCTTGTGAGAGCGGGGGAGATAGTTTGTCCCAAGTGAGAATCCTTGAAGTTTCAAAATGTTTCAATCCTAAGAAGCTACATTTTAGACTTATATGAAATTTAAAATTTCGGTTGTCAATACTGTAATCATAAATCTTGCAGTTCCGTATTCTAAAAATCGATCAGTTTTGTGTTCATTCTGCATTGAAATGATCAAAGGCATGCGTGTCTTCATTCAATCTTACTTAAGGTGGGTATGAGATGAATTTTAGAAATTGAATTTGATTAACTTGCAGGTGTCATATTGAGCTTAAATTCAGTAAATTTGTCCAAAATCCATGAAAATGAAATGCATAAAATTTTTAAATATATTTCATGATGCTGAACATTTTAAAAAACAAAAAAATGCCGCAAGAATGCAGAATGTTGTGAGAGAAAAGAATTCAAGTGTTTGGAGTAATAACTCGTACGAATTATTATTCAGTCCAATTCCAAGCTTGACCCTTCATTATTTTTTCAAGTGTCTGTGTTTTTGTGTGAATACTGTAATTGGTGTTCTACCTTCTGTCCTCTGGAATCCTCTCAATGAAAAAAAAAATGTTCGAATTTGTATTTACAGTGCTTCCAATGATCTACTTTGAACTTCATGGCTTGATAAACATGTTCACCGATGAGAGTTTTATTGATTATTTAAGAAAACAAATTAGGCGAAATAATGAGAAACTTAGCCTCTCACTTGAATTGGACCACTTGTAGAGGAAATTTCTGGAAAAAGTTCATCGTCTCCTTTTTCAGGGCGTGAAAGAATTTTTTATTCAATTAGATAAAAGCTGATTTTTTCCCTGGGCCGAACGCTAGCAATAACTTGGATCGTTGCAATAGTGCCAAGCGTCTTTTCATGATATTATTTTTCTTTCCCCCTCTTCCAGACTAGAGGCTTTTTCAAGGGCATGGAATTTCCAATTTTATCAAGCGGCATTCTCAACTCGCTCATGTTTGGGACGTATGGTGTTTGTATGGGAGAAATCATGAACAAGCGGCATCATGAAGCCCCCACAGCGTTGGATGCATTTATTTGCGGTTGTGCAGGCGGTTTCGTGACAATTTCCTTGTGTTGTCCCGTCGAAGTCGTCAAAGTGAAGCTTCAATTGCAAACAGGTCTTCTGCCTCCCAGGATTTGTTTTTTTTTCTGCTTTTGAAAAAAAAAAGGGTTTTGATTTTATCTCTGAAGCTGAAGGCGCGGCTGTGAACGTGTGGGGGACAACGAGTGTCAAGCATTATCGAGGACCCTGGGATTGCGTAAAGGATTTGTGGCGAATGCACGGTTTGAAAGGACTTTATCGCGGCAGTGGTTGCATGCTGTATCGGTGAGTCAATATCCCCCCCCCCCCCTTTATTTTTTGCGAGTGGAAAATTCCCGTGTTGTTCAAAGGATCATAAAGTTTCTTGGCCTGTTTGTTTATTCATCTTCTTTCCGGTTTTCCCTTCTTTGAAAAATACTGTATTGTTATTGAAAAAAATTGCTTCGAGTTATGTCATCAGTCGTTGAACATATAGATGAAGTCTTTAATTTGTTTGGTTACAGATAACGCGGTTATTTTCCGTTCTGAAAATTAATTTGCTAATGCATTTATTTAATTCAGCTGAAATGCTTTCTTCAACTGCGTCTTTTTTATTTGATCCCCTTTTTCCATCGGATTGAGAAAAGAAAAATCAAAGAACATAATCAGCAATTCAAGCTTAGAACAGTAAAAAAAGTTGGATAAGAAGAATTTCAGAGAATTGAATTTAAATGTTTATATTTTTTTTAACTTTTGTGGGGAACAGACCTGATTGAAACTCAACTGCATTATTTTCGGTCTGTGAGAAAGTTATTTGCGGAAATGGTACAAAAGTTTGGACGTTTTTTGAATTTGAAAAAACGAACCGATTCAAGAAAATATGCGAGAATGAAAGTCGAGAATCTGTTGGGCTGTGGCCGAAGTGCTTAACACCATATTGTTGATTTGCGAACTCTCAAATTGATTTTCAAAACAGAAGAAATCGGAGTTTCACTAGAAGTTTGAATGCAAAATAAATCCTACAAGCACTTTTGAGTACTTGATGGGTCCATCGTCGAAGTGTTGAAGTTTAGGAAAAAAAGAATAGCACGGGTTTATAGAATGGGACAGATTTTGCTCGTTTAATTATGCTTGCTTTTTCGTAATGAACACGATTCAAAATTATTGATATTCCTTGCTTGAATGTGAAAGCGAGTGGAGGGTTGAAATGTTTTGCATTATTATTGCTTTCTACTTGAGCTCGTGAAAAACAGTATGATTTGATCGTGATACAGTTGTTTCTGTGCTTTCGTTTACTGTATGTGTTTTTTATGTTGTTTTCTATTTTATAGTGATATTCCGTCGGCTGGGCTCTATATGGCTGTGTATCAAGGTCTGTTGAATGAACTCGGAGACAGGCCAATTGTTCATGCCCTGGGTGGAGGTTTAGCAGGTGAAATAAATTTCATTTTTATGCCATTCGCTGGGTTCTTCCAACTCTGTACGTGTTTTCAGGTGTGCTAAGTTGGGCCTCGATCATTCCCTTTGATGTCGTCAAATCACGGCTGCAGTCGGATGATTTCCAGAACAAGAAATACCGTGGAACTTGGGATTGCATGAAGCAAAGTGTGAAAAGCGACGGGTTTTCTGTTCTGTTCCGGGGATTTTCCGCGGCGGTTCTGCGAGCTTTTCCTGTGAATGCTGCGATTTTTTATGCCTATGGATGGACAAGGAAGGAGTGTTTGATTCTGAATCAAAAAATTGAGTGATTTTGCAGAACATTACAACTTCAGACGCGTCGTGAACTGTTTAGATTTTGTATGGGGTTCATGGTTGTGGTTTTTTTTTATTTTGTTGACGTCGTTCTGAATCAGACACGTATCAGAAGGCGGTTTTTTTTTACCCGGTGGTCAAGTTCAAAACTGAGGCAATTTGGAATTTTGTGACTGTTGAATCTCGTGCCATGTACGTGACTGCGATTTTTGCCTTTTGATGCCCATTCTTGCCATAACTGTGTATTATTGTTTTTACGACAGTCTTTCAAAGTGAATCTGAGACTTATTTTAAAGAGTGGAGTTCAAATGCATTTCCCGGTGAATTCAGGCTTTTAGTTTGTTCTTCAGTTCTCCTCCGTTGTTATACTGTACCCTCTTGTTTTCATGAATCTTCTTTTTTTTTTTTACTAAAATTGTGTTTCTCTTAATTTTTTTTCGATTGCTAAGATTTATTGGATGCGATCAGATTTGAAGTTGAAGTGACGTTTGTGACACGTTCCAAAAACTCACGAGGTTTATGACAGAAAAGTTTTCTGTAGTGAAATATTTCTGGCATTGATTTTTCATTTGTATTTAAGTTTTCACAATGAATGGCGGTGATGCAATTGACGCACGTGAGCGTCATTCGAACAAAGTGTCGAGAATAATGGGCGATTTGTTGCTAAAAGGTTACAAAATGCTGGGATCATCTTGCGAAGATTGTTCGGTAAGTTCTGGTGGTTTCTGAATATCCTGTTGGACTTCAGTCAAGTTTTCCGTTGCTTGTTGCAGAATGTGCTTCTTCAGGATCGATCGGGTTCGCTTCTCTGTGTTTCTTGCGAGGAGATGAAGAAACTCGCTCCTCCTCCTCCGGCAAAAAGTATGTTTTTCATCTTCAGCGTTTTTACTTTCATTAAAAATTTTACGGTTTAATGTTTTATTTTCCAGTTGAGAACACGCTTGCAGAACCGAAATTTCAGACCATTTCTGATGATGAAGAGAAAGCCTTGGCTCAGGTGAAAGACGCCGTGTGCAAAAAGTTGACCTGGGCGTCTGAGCAACTCGAGAAAAGTGATGTTTCGGACGCGTTGAGGCTCGTCCAGTTGATTGGAAACATGCTTGCTATACTTCAGGACATGAAGAAATAACTTCTTCGTCGATTGTATCCTTCCAAAATAATAATCTTCAGTAAATAAATATTTTCAATTCACATCGGATAATTAATTTTTTGTTTGTTTGGGAGCTAAACCAAATATTCTGGCCATGATTGCATTTGTTTTTTTTATTCCTTAGGCTGAAAAATGACGTCAAGAATCGTAACACTGATTGACATGGACTGTTTTTATGTCCAAGTGGAGGAGAAATTG